AAAGAAAGAAAGAAAGAAAGAAAGAAAGAAAGAAAGAAAGAAAGAAAAAGAAAATATCATCCCATATGTAAAATTTTGCCCTGGAAGGGCAAAACGAAGAATGTTTGCATGCTTCCCTCTGTTTCCTTCCTGTGCCACTAACTTTATCAATTTTTTTAAAACAATTGCAGGTTGGTTATAAGCTTCCAAGGGACAGACCCCACTACTCAAGAACACATTCCAATCAACAGCCGTTTTAAATGTGTACAAGGTATTCAAAGTCTGTTTTCCTTCTGGTTTGATGACTCACGGTTTCCTCCAGGCCAGGAAAGGTTAGTGTCAAAATCAAAACCACAAACAGAATCTGGACCCTAGCAACCAGAGATGATAAGTCGGAGTTTTGTGCAACCATAAATCCTGTGCCAATGGAAACATAATAGGGAATCTCCTTGCTTGGTTAACGAGCTGATAGCCCTGGACTCAAAGGTCCTGTTTTTTTTTTTCCAAGCGGCAACTGGACTTTCTAGTTTTTCTTTGAAGACATTTCGCTTCTCATCCAGAAGCTTGAAAGAGAACCAAAACTTCTTCAGAGGAAGAAAAAAAAAAGCTAAAAGGAGCTTCTTGGATGAGAAGTGAAACACCTTTAAAGAACAAGGAAGTCCAGTTGCCTCTTGGAAAAAGCATTTTGGGGACAACCATGGCCTGGAGGACTGAGAATCTCCACAGACATTGTGTGATGGCCTTGGTGTTTTTTGGAAATGAAACTGACTCCGCGTCACAGATAAAACACAATCCAGGCGCTGAGCTCTTGCAAGCCGAGATTAAAAGTCTACCACTTGTCTTCAAAAAAAAATTTTATCAACCACTTGTGTTCTTTCCTTAGTTAGCCCAAGTGAAAGATTCCTGTGATGCATTTTGCAGCTTTGTGATTTTTGGTTGTTGTTTTTGTTTTTTTCCTTCCAGAGGCTGAAGAAACTTTGCTGATCGACATAGCCACAAATTGTGAGTCTTCTTTCCTCAGAAATGTTGTCAGAAATAGACCTCTGAAGGCTGACGTGTTGTCTTTCCCGCTTGACTCATTGTCCTGCTCTTCTCTCTTTTCTGCCTTCTGCTGCCTGGGTAGAGATTTTCTGGGAAAGGTGGCCGGCCCTGGAATATTTGGCC